TCACTGTACTACAACTCCAGTTGTAGTACAGTGGCCCAATCATAGCTCACTGCAGCTTGAAACTCCTGAGTTAAAGCAATCCTTTCCCCTCAGCCTCCTGAGTAGCTGGGACTACAGGCATGTGCCACCATGCCCAGCTAATTTTTCTGTATATTTTTAGTTGTTCAGCTAATTTGTTTCTATTTTTGGTAGAGACGAGGTCTCTCTCTTACTCAGGCTGGTCTCGAATTCCTGAGCTCAAACAATCCACCCACTTCAGCTTCCCAGAGTGCTAGGATTACCAGTATGAGCCATGGCACCCCGCCTCTACCGCATCTTTTGAAACAAATCAACATTTTGCAAAAAGCCCAGCTCAGTGCCAGGATAATTTGAATGATTTCTACCTTTCAATATATGAGATTAGAGAAACTTAAGATAAAAATTTATCAAGTAAATATGAGTATTTCTCGATTTGCAAAATATTTTCATTAACATTCTTAATTTTATAAATGATGTGCTGCAAACTTTATTCAGGCTATTTTGATATAGAACATTAATTGCAGTTTAGGAATCAATATTGTCCTTTAAAGGAAGAAATAGTAGCAATTTTTGTAAGAAAATTACAGCCTTTCCTGTTTTGTAAATATCAAAGACGTCGAAAGGCAGGCAGAGAGTTGTAAAATGTCTATCTATTAGTAGGTGGACAATAAAGAGAGAAATGAACATCATCATGGACTTTAATGCGCACAGAAAAAAATATTCAATAAAAGTTATTAATTGTGTCTAGTTTCTTGTTGTCTTATTTATGCAGGTAATGTATTTGAACTCATTTTCCGTTCCCCTAAAGATGAAAATATAAAAAAAATATTATGAGGAAAGAGCAGAGTAAGTCAATATGCATTAAGTTGGTGGTTCATCACACAGAGATTAAAGTATTTCCAATATTTTCTTGATTTCTTAAGGTTTAACAAGTCATAGTCTTTCATAGTAAATGTCACTGAGAATAAGTAATCCTAAGTGACTGAGGGCTATAAGAAAAATTATCAACCTTTATTTGGGATACAAAATTAAGAATGAGAGCAAAAATAAATCTTTTTTATTTTTTTTAGAAAGGTGGTTCCTTATATAACAGAATGATAAACTTATGTTCCTAAATGTGTCCTTTTAGGAGGACAGTCTAATACTAATTTGCATTTGAAGAATGAGAAAACTGAGGCATTGCCCATGGTTACAAAACCTATTTTCATAATAAAGATTAGAACAAGACTAGGACCCAAATCTTCTGTCGACATTTCTACATAACAATTTGCTTTCTTTTATGTTGATCTGACTGCATGAATTGGAACTTCCTTATTTAAACATTCTCAAACTCAACAGAAATAAAAAAATGGTTTTGATTTAATTTAAAATGTCCAACTAGTTTTATTTATTCTTTTTCATACTCAAAGTTCCTATAGCCTGCAAAGTTGAATATCTCTATATGTAAACCAAAAATTTGTTTTTTAAAAAAATTTCCATTCAATATTTCTGTTTTATGGAGCAAGCTAGTTGATAAAAAATTTGTCATTTGGAAATAGAACAAGATTGCTCTTGGCTGCCTTCCTTCGCAGGAATTCCTAATCTGAGTGGCTACAGTCTATAAATGATCTCTGGAGTTTGGCTTAGATGCTTAATTCAGTTTTATTGGCTACCTGGTCTCCTTTCTATATGTCTACAGCCCATGCATCCCTGCAAGTACCTACCTATAAAACAAATCCTAGGTCTCCAGGCTTCTCTTGGTCCCATAACAACCACCGAGTCCTCCCATTTGGGGCATCTTCCAGTATGAACCGGCCTCGTGTGTCATTTTTCAAATCTCTTGCCTGTCCTATCTTTCTGCCCGGCCAGCTAATAGAGATGAGCTGTTCCTTTGTTGTCTACAGAGGGGGAACAGAATTCCAGTCTAAACCACTCTTATCATTTCTCCCCAAGAAGAGAAGCTCTTGGCATCCCCTGGGCTGCCTTATAGTAAGCATGTCATTCCACACATGGGGAAAGACTGCTTTACGCATGATTTCCTGCTGCTATTGTCACCAACAAAAATTCTTAATGTACGAAATCTATCCACCGCTCCAGATGCCCCTTTTTTCAATTGTGTGGTCCCAGGAGTGTCTGCTTACTATGATATTTTATGAGAGAGTCCCATCATTTTTTTCCTGGTCTCGGAGAAATTGCAATGAAAATCAATATTGGATCATTTTTTCTTGTGGAATTAAGTTTGGGAGAAGTAGGTGAAATGGGGCAAAAGCAACTCAGGTTGGGCATATTTAAACACCAATAATAAACTGAATCAATATTAACAGAGGTATAATTGCCAAATCAATTCAAATAATTATTCCTCTATACTCTACACAAGGAAGTCTACATTTACAGATAGCCTAGAACACAGGAGTTGGAATGAGATCAGATTTATCACAATTCCACTCCAAGGTCTTTGGTTTATTCTCAGCTTGTAAAGACAATAGCCACCTGGTAATAACATATAATTTTTAACCACTATCCTAATATTATCTAAAGTTCAATTACTACACACACACACACATATGTGTGTAGAGAGACAGAAGATTACCGAAAAAACTTGCAATCATTTATTCTTCCAGATGTTCTAAACACTACCATTCATACAGTAAACAAACAGAGCTCTGGGTATCTGAAGCATAAAATCCTTGGTTTCCTAGAGAATTGCCTTTACTGGTCCAGATTATGATGTCAAGGCATTGGCCATATGAAGAGATATGAAAAAGAAAAACCCCATGAAATTTCTCATTGTATATTTTATGAAAAATGTGCATTTTTACATATTCCTATGTGTCCTTTTCCTAAGAAGAAATTCTTTCTTCTTAATGTCAAGTCTAGCTGTATTTTTATTTTTTAAATAATTTGACTTTTTAAAAATTTTATCGGCTTTATGAACTAGTAACTGGCCATTGTCTCATTGCTGACTAAGAATATCCAGGCCATATCTGTGGCCATATATAGCAAGTAAATAATTTTTATTATTTTTTCTTTTGGTAATCTCATTCCTGACTTCATTTTATATTCTCAGTCTTGAATATTCTTTCTCGTTTTTTTTTTTCTATTTTGTTTTTTACATGTAAGCTATACATTTGTATTTATATATCCTGGATAATGATCTGAAATACTTTATGAATCAAATATAAGAATAAATAGGCAAATAAACACATAGTTTTGCAACTGACTATCTATGAGTGATTTTGAGAAATTTAATTCATCTCTACAAACACATTTTTCATATGTAAATTTAGAATACTAATATATTATATATGTTTATTATTCCTCACATATTTATTATTTTTATTATATTTTGTTATTTATTTATTATTATATTATTTTTATTATTTTATTCCTCATATATTTTTCTGAGAATTAAAATGATATAGCATTTTAAGTACCAAATACAGTGTCTGGCATCTAGTAAACGCTTAATAAAATTAATTATATCTAAATTTATATATAACCCTAAGGGTAATTTTTTTAAGAGATTCACTGATAAATTAGAGCATAACCAAAAGAGAACAAAGACTAGTGCTTTTTTGTGGGGAGAAAAATGGCATAGCAATATTATAACTAGATCCCTATTTTAAAAAAATAGTACAAAACTCCAAAATGCACATTTGTGTGTGCATGAGCATGTATGTGTGTGTCTGTGCATGGGTACTTGAGTATGTTTGAATGAACAACAACATTAAGGAAAAATCCAACTCAAACTATAAACTGTGGTTACCACTTAGGCAATACTGGAAGGCAGAAGAAGACTTAATATTTTAATTCACACATATTTTTAAATATACAACAAAATGGAGAAAAAGTGGAGAAATTGAAAATTTCTGCATAGTTTTTCCCACTTAATAATTGTTTCTTTTGTCTATTACTTTAGTCAAAGACATATATATTATATTAAAATTAATTACTGAAGAAAGAATGTAGATAAGAAGGTGAAAGATCCCAGAATCACAGGGAAAAAAAACTGAGGACATTTAGTCTAAAACTGAGATAAAGGAGAAATTATGGCTATCTTCAGATATTTGAAGTGTTATCAAGTGATGGATAATTTACACTCATTCTGTAATGCTCCAAAGGATGCAAAATGATCTTGGTAAAAGAAGTAACAATTTTATCAGTGTAGAGTAAATCTTGAATGAGCTGTCACTCGATGCTAGCCTTAAGAAGACATCAGATGTTCATTTTTCAGGGGTGTTAGAAAAGTGAAAACTGCTAAGGTAGATCTAATTAGATTCTGAAATAACATCTACACTGTTTCTTTAGAAGATAAAAGATATCAATCTGCTTTAGTATGCTAAAGTTTGCTAAATGAACCAATGGGCATTCATTGAGTAAACAGTATATTCCAGGTAATATGCTATACATTAGGAATAAACAGGTAATTAAGATGTATCTGAGCTTCCAAAGAGCTTATGTTCCAGTTAGAAAGACTTTCATAAACAGGTAATTTTAATAATATAATTATTTTCAGAGCAAAAATATATACAAGTCACTATGGAAGCATATCAAAGACAATGACACACTTAGGCTAAATAGGGAATTCCTATTAGGTATTGATAGTATTTGTTTGGAAATGTTATTATCCAATTTTTAACACAAATCAGTATGTAACATTTGCACCAGTTTGACTTTAACTTTTAACACAATCTGGATATGGTTATACTTTTAACTATATATATATGAAAAATATGTATATTTTCATATATACATATTCTTTTCATATACAGATAATAAATTTTTGTAGCATCCCCAGGCATTCAAATAATCCTATTAGAAGTTTAGAAATGTTTTATTTATTTATTTTTTATTTTAACATATTATGGGGGTGCAAGTGTTAAGGAAGCTAGAAATGCTTTAGAACTGAGAAAAAGTAAGGACCTTTCAATGAGGTGAAAGGCTTGACTACGGGGTAATTGCAAAGGAGGCAATGATGCAATTCCAATTTTGAAAGTTATAAATTATGCAAGTGATTTCAACAGCAGGGGGGTTATTTGTCCTGATGTGAAGATGTTGCAAAGCTCATGAATTTCAAATCTGTAAATTAAGAACAAAAAATTTGCAGCTTATCTAGAGGCAAATGAAAGACAAGTTATGCCAATAGAGGTCAATGCTGTGGCTCACTCTCACTATTAGGGATTGTTCAGTGTTCCCCTCCTCCCACACTCCACTCCAAAAGAGGAAAAGTGCTGATGGAGAGAGTCCAAGGGCATAGGTGATGAGGTGACAGGGGTCTGAGTTTTTAGAGATGATATTAAAAATAGGTTGAAAGCTCTTGCAACTGACTGTTGTGATGTTTAGACGCAGCACATTTTATCCCTTCTCTTGGTCATTTTCTTTTTGGTTTGATGATGTAAGAAGTTTCTGCTCTAATTTACATTCCCTCCAAAAGTATGTAAGGGCTCCTTTTTCTCCATATCCTCACTATGTCCAGCACAGGTAACTTAGCCCAGTTTTACATTTTAACAGATCATATCATAGCTCTGTAAGGAACCCAAATGTTTTCCATGATATTAACAATTTGTTTAACATTTCATTCATTCAAAATATGCCAGAAAACTAAAAAAATTTAATTCTTTATTTTTTAATAGAACTAAAAATAGCAGATAAGGTAAAATAATCCAATATACTATTTTAGCCTGGTTTGGTCCAATTACTATCAATTCTACCAATTGAATCAGTTATTTTAGACTATGAAAGAAAAGAAAAAAGCATTGACCCAAAATAAGGTCAATCCAATAGTCACATAGACATTACCTATATTCAACACTATCTGGCTCTTTGCATTTGCATTTTCCCTCACATTTCATTTCAGCAGAATCCAAATATATGACACCCAAAGTAGATGGAACAAAAATGGTTCATCAAGGGAGCTACATTAAGAGAGCTGAATTTTAGACATTTACTAAGTGAGCAAGTTCAATAACAAAGTCAGATTCCTGAAACAACTGGAATTTGATATAGATGAATGCCAGATCAATAGGCTTTTAAATCACAGAAAAGTTGGAAAGCTGTAAGTGAAATTGAAGTGGTTCTTTGTTTGAATTCAATTTCTTTGTCATTGTATATTTTTCTTCAGTTGAAACCATTTTGGAAATCATTACAAAAGCTCTTTTTGAGAATAAAAATGCAAATATATCCCTTTTAGCTCATCATATTCTTATGAAGTTTGATTAAAAGATTTTTTTTCTTCAAATGTATGGCTTTGTAATACTGTATTATTTTCTTAGCCTGCTTTTAATAGATGTCTTTAAAAAGCTTGTTATCACAAAAGGAAATGGAGTTATCATGTATATTATTCCCATAATTCTTAAGTCACACATATCAATTAGTGGGATTTTTTTCTATGAGATGGCTATTTTCTTTTGTTTCATCATCATTATAATACTTTTTATCAGTACATTGCATTAAGCCAACTTTACCTTGATTTTATTTCCTTGCTTTTAAATCCTAAGCACAATAAAAAATGTTTATATGGATTAAATACTTTTAACAATAATTTATCTCTATTGGAGAAATTTGTGCTCTAAATTTCAATATGATATTTTACAAAGTCAAACACCAATAGTAATGGTGTGAGCCCAACAGAAGGTAGAACAAGGATGTGCAAAGCCATCTCCAAAAGTCTCATGTTTTTAGTTAAAGCATTTGCTTAGGTTCATATTACTTTGGTTTTTTACTCAAGTAAAATGCACATAACAAAATTTTTCACCTTAACCATTTTTAAGTATATAATTGTTACTAAATACATTAATAGTGTTGTGCAACCATCACCACCATACATCTACCTAACTCTTTTCATGTGGTAAAACTGAAACTCTGCACTCATAAAAAAACAAGTCCCTATTGTCCCTTACCTCTAGCCACTGGCAACCACCATTCTACTTTCTCTCACTATGATTTAGACTGCACTAAGTGCTTCATATAAGTGGAATAATACAGTATTTTCTGTCATTGGCTTATTTAATTTGGCATAATGTCATCAAGGATCATTGATACTGTAGCATATGTCAGAATTTTGTTCCTTTTTAAGGCTGAATAATATTCTATTGTATACATACATCATATTTTGCTTATGCTTTCATTTCTCCATGGACATTTGGATTGCTACCATGTTTTAGCTATTGTGAATAATGCTACGAAGAACATGGAAGTGCAAATATCTATTCAGGACCCTGCTTTCAAATATTTTGTGTATATGCCCAGAAGTGGAATTGCTGGAACATATGATAAGCCTATTTTTACTTTTTTATATTTCCATCACTTTTGTCCTAACAATTTGACTTTCCTAATTTTCTTCTGTGACAAATCATCTTCTCTGGTGCATCGTCTGCTGGCTTTTTGTTCACGTTGTTCCTCTTTTCCCTTTATTTAGAATGACAAGTCAACTTTTTAAAATCTATTTTTAAATATTTAACACATATAAAAGTTGACAATAACTAGGCTGTATCTTAAATCTTAATAGGTTAATGCCTTAGAAACTACCAACTTAACCCATAAATTGCATTGGTATTTCCTATGATGTTATCAAAACTGGAGAATTTTCCTTTTTGTTTGTTAGACTTAATTGATTTTCATAAAAGCAATCAGCCAGGGGTGACAAGATACCAAGAGACAGAGATCAGTTAAAAGTTATTTTTTTCTGTTCCCTTTACCCCCATAAACAAGGCAACATTAAACAACAGAAACACATGGTCAATGATAATTTTCTGTTTGGGCTGCTAAAACTCCTTTTTCATAGAAGTCAGACACATCAAGTTGAAGAAACAGACCAAAAAATGCCTCATCCCTAAAGCCAAACTTATTGGGCATGAGTGGGTAAATATTTCAAAGAAAAGATATGCTCTGATCTTTTTTATAACCTTCTTGGTGTCTAAAAATTGAGCAGTGATGATATGCAACTGAAAGTTTCTTTTCATTATATTGCAATTATCTAACAAAACACATTTAGAAAAGCAGCAATTTTTAACTTTTATACTACTTTTTTCTCTCAGTAACTCAATGGATTTGGTGAGAGGGTATGAACTAACTATATGCAATTTGAAGAGATCATACTTTTGATCAAAAAGTGACAACCTCAACAAGGGTTTATTTCAGGTAAAACCTGCCTTATTGAAAATAAGTCCTCAATCCATAAATTCACTAAGAGATCTTTATAATTTAAAGACATTATCTGAAGTTTTACTTTTGCTACTCAATCATACTAAGAGCACAGGATCAGATCATGAAAATATAGCTTAACTCAAAAAAAAAGGGAGAGGAGAAATTCTCTGCTTGCAGTGTAAGTGCTTATGTACATTAAGCATCCGCTGAATATTTTTACAAAGAAAACTGTGTTTACAAAGAAAACTGTGTTAAAGTTTGAAAATTTAGGATTTTTTAAATCGGAAGGCCTGGTTTCAATTCTTAGCCCAGTCAATTATTAGCAATAAAACAGAGGGCAAATCAAATATCTCTGAGCCTGAGTTTCCATATCTGTAATAATAATAATACTTCATAATGCCTTGAAATTTCTTTTTGATTGCATCCTTGGAGCTCACATGGATCATTTTACTTTTCAGAGGTGCAAGTTCTGGTGCCCACAACAAAAACATCAACTCTTCTTTTCTGGATTCCTTGGTTTCAAAGCTTGCATCATATAAAGCATAGCGACAATCTTTTTCAGGAAGCATTCCCACAAAATGCTTGAAAGGATCAGTTATGGTTACACCAACATCTCCAACCAAGATCTCTTTGCCTTCTTCTACAATGATGCACTTTTTGTCTGCACTGAGACAAAAAATGACAGCCTTCTTTCTTTTTTTGATTTCTTCTGGTGTGGAGCATTTCCTAACTTTCATGTCATAAAAAATGCGACATACTTCATCAGCAACTTGCACTCCTGAGGCCATTTTCGCTGTGGTGGTCACAGGGACTCAGGGGAGGGAGCCGGCGGGGCGCAGAGACTGCAGAGCAGAGCGTCCTCCTCACAGCTGCGGGCCCAGAGACCCAGCGCCTTTTTTTTTTTTTTTAAACTTTAGAATTTAGATTTATTTAGGGCTGTTTGCAAAAGTTCATAGAATATTTAGTTTACTCCAAAAGATGACAAGACAGTTCCCCCTCAGTGAGACCCTGGCCTAAATATATTTTTGCTTTATTTATATAGCAAGAGGATAACATTAAACATGGAAGCTTTCAATTTGTGGCACTGAATGATCTACACAGGGCATCCTTCAAAGGCTACAATTAAGGACCCACCTAACTTTTCAGCAATACAAGCCCGATTGAGGTCTTCTGGCCCATTTGTTGTTTATAGGAGTGTTGAAAATACAGATAAAGGTTCATTTGTATGTGCTATCTATTTTGTTCACATTTATTCAGCAACTAGAACAGCCAGGCACTCTATGTGGAACGTGGGGGAGCAGAGGGGTTGACAGCTATATCCTTGAAATCCATAGTCTGTTCAGAAGAGACAGATGTACTAACATAAACATCAATATAACGTATTTATGTTGCAACTGAGAAAAAATGTAAGTACTATAAAGTGTCTTGGTAGAGACAGACCAGCTCTGTCTTTGAATGCCAGATTTCATGTAAGAGACAATATTTGAGCTGAGTCTTAAAAGAAAAGAGTTTTCCCAGGGAGAAAGGATTCACAGTGTAGTAAAAACCACATGTACATGTAGGAGAGTAGAGGGGTAACAGAGAAAACAATGCTGAAGAAAACTGAATAGACTTGTGCAGATGGAGCAGAGACTCTCTGGTAGTTGATGAGGCTTGAAAACTCGACTAGGAACAGATCGTAAAGGGTCATGAAACACAAAGGCCTTGAGATTTGATGGGAAGGACACTAATGAGCTATGGTTCTTGATGAAAGAGATACTTTAGAAAAACTAGTCTAGCTATAGCATGAAGAATAGTTTGCTGTTCTCAAGACTAGAGTCATGGAAAACAAATACTACCCACAGTAGAAATTTAGATGTCTGGTGATGGGCTCAGGGATAAAGGGCAGAGGCCAGCGTTTGGAACTAGAGGATGTGTTTGGTTGGGGACATGGTTAATTTCAATGATTACATTAAGTGTGTTAACAAAAAAGCACTTGTGGAAACAGTTGCCTACTCCATTGAAACTTATCCCAGAGTAAGCTTTTTCAACACTCATTTTCAACATTCAGTTAGCAAATCTTTCTTTTGCTAAAAAACAAAGTCAAGCTCTGCATATAAGGCCCTCTGTGGCCTCTATCCATTTCTGCAGCAGCATCATTAATTGGTGTCTGCGTTCCAATAATCCAGCAGCAATCCCGCAAGCAGGCAATACTCTGTCTAGGCTCTGTGCCTTTGCACACTGTCTTCTATGCCTAAATGCCTGTATTTCTCCATCACACTCTCATTATTAATATTATTGTGATAATGTATACTCCACTTGACTGGTGTCCATGTCTGGTTTTCCCCTCTGGCAGATAATAGGAACACAAGAAAATTTTAGTGACTAAATGAGCAAATAAGGTGGAAAACGTTATATTGGATCAACTTTGCACAATGAAAGTCTGTCTTTCGACAAATATTTGTTCCAAGCATTCTTGAAGTTAATAGCTTAGGCTTCTGAGCAGCATCAGCATACTAAAATCCTATTTATTTAAGTATATTTTTTCCCCAGATATAATGGCAATGGAGTGATCCAAATTTCAGAATTATAAGCCTATTTAACATTTAAAAATCAAAATGTGTCCTAAGTTTTTATGTTTCACACATTATGCAACTCATATTCTTACACTAACAGGTATATAATCTCTATCAAATGTAATAAAAAGTATCAATCTATGTTTTAACAGTGTGAAATATAAAGCTTGGAGTTAATTTTTTCTTGACATCCCTGCCCTCATCATTTTCACCAATGTACACAGGGAAGCATTGTTTGAGCATGATAAAAAAAAAAAATGAGGCCCAGAAATACCAAAGTTAATGACATTACTGTATATTAAAAGAATTACCTCACCATCAAATGATTTTTTTGTTCTCTTCCTGACCATCTCAATGAATAAAGCAGGATAATGACATTCTCATTATTTTAGGAACACATTTGCATCCGTAATGAAAGAGTCCCTAAAGGGTGCAGACACCATAGAGGCGACTGTCTGAATTAATTAAAATTGTTTGCCTGATTAGATAGAAAATGCAAGTATAAACTGCACATCAGGAAAAGTTTCTCTCTCTTTTCTCAAAACATAAGAATAAACTATTTTTAACAAAAAGCCTTACAGGATTACACTTTAGAAAACAAAATATAAGTTTCCACATATTTCTCTACTCCCTGACTTTTGTACTGGCTAATAAAAATAATAATATACATATACTATATTTGATATATTCTTCTTAAATTTTTCAGTAGCTGGTTAATTGAGTCCAAATAGAATAAAATTCTTTCAAATGTAAACATATGTAGCTTAAAATGAAAAAAAATGCATTTAATATTCTTGATCTAAACTTCTTGAAGTTTACAGATAACTCATCTAAAAGGATAACAACTGATTATTTTTTTAGGAAGTAATACATGTTTATAATTATAAAGAATCATTTCCTCCTTATGTAAAACACACTCCTCAATGACAGAAAGCAATCAAACACATCTTTCTCACTTTAAATATGTTTGCATGTGTGCAAATCAATTCAAATGAGATATTAATGTAGTATTTAATAGAGCCATTAAAATGTGAATTATCTTGAAATTATTATATTTCTTTTCCAATATTTTCCTAATATAGTTTTAGCCACAAGGGCAAGATATGTTTGTGAAGGTAACTATTATCTTCAGAAATACAAAGTTTGATAGAACAGAGAATAAAATAAAAACACATGGCATATATCCTTCTAAAATAATTCCATGGGAAAACAGGCTCACTTTTACTTTGATCTACTATTATTTAGAGAAAGTGGATCAAGGTGAGCATGTGGAATGCTGATTCAGACCAAATCCACAGCTATGCAGTAAGTTGCAAAGACATTGCTTAGTAACAGTAGAACATAGAGGAGGAAGAATATTGAAAAGCACACAGATATACTCCTTGATGGTGTGTTGTGGAGCCTTTTATGATACCCACATCCTTTCCCTTTCTTCCTCTGATTACTTTGTGTTTGTAGTCATATGTAGAATCTGATTATATTCTAAATTGTACTTTTTAAATATTTCATTGTTTCAATCTCATCTTTCCAACAGAAAGTTTAAACCAGCAAGAGTAGAAGTGTGTATATATGTTTCACAAATCATATAATTCATGATTGATACAATGTTGACACTCCTTCTCATCCTTCTCACTTGCTTTTCTCTTCTTTGATTTTCTGCCTTTATACTTTCTAGAATTTGCATCTTAATCAGAATGTCAAGAACACACATATCACCATAACAAATAAGGAAAGCAAAGCTTTTAAGGGTAATTAGAGTGAAAATGCCATAATGATCTGTATTTTTTTATAAAGTTGTCATTTAGATAAACTCATATAGAACAACACCAGATATATCAGTAGGGAGAAAAACTTTAATTTACTGGAGTGGCTATCTATTTCAGTGGCTTAATAAAAACTTTATTTTAGCAACCCATTGTACTAGTGAATGGTATCATAATACACGGTATATGTGCTTGTTTACCTTAAACTAATATAGGAAACTCACATATATGGTAAGTTTTGTCTCTAAAATCCTGTAAAAATATTTTTATGATGTTGAAGTAAAATTCAATGGAAATCAAGTGGGAGGAGGGAGGAGGAGATGAGGAAATCCTCACCTGACCGGTACAATGCAAAGCTGTCTGGGGGAAGGGCACACCTACAACTCTGACTCAAACTGTACAAAATCCAAGGAGATCCAAAATCTGTGTGCTTCCATAATATTCTGAAATCAAAAAAAAAAAAAGAAATTTCTTGTCAAAAGTGAAAATTTTGAGTAAATTTTCCTTTGTGTAACAGCAGACAATTTATTAACTGATATTTTTTCCCCGTAAATTATTTTTAGTACTATGGGGTCGTATTTTATAGATGCAGTTTAAAGATATCTCTATACAGCTTTACAAGCTGTACAGACAACTTACATTGGGTAAGATGTTAGACAACTTACCCAAAATTCTTCGACTAATAATTGGTTCCATAACCAAACATCTCATATTTTTATTTTATTGCTGCTCCCAAGCTTCAAATGACAGCTATGTAAGGAAAGGCACAAAGAACACTAAGATATGCTCTGAAGGAGATGATTATCTAAGATAGACCCCTCCATCTTGTGCAAAAATTAACTACACATGAAACAGAAAGTGTTATGTGAAGTTCAAGAGGCGTGGTAGATGAGTTAATGAAGAGGAGGAAAAGTTTACTTCTAGCAGGTATTCAAGAGAGTACGACTGGAATGATGATGTTTGCTGTAGGCAATATTCGACATAATGTTGTGAATTTCGGTGTAGACAAACTCATCTAATAACAGCACAGACATGGCAAATCTTGGAGAAATGATTAGTTCATTGAGATTCAGCATCAGGTGCAGAAAAGGAAAAAAGAAAATAAAGCTACAAAAATAGAGAACTGTAGAGGAAGACAATGAATGCTACTCTAAAATTTGCTGTATATTTTGTAGGAAACTAAAGGTGGTTAGGTATTGTAATGATATCAATAAAATTATGCTTCAGGACTGAAACATAATGTTCTAGCAAGTTACAAGTTCAGCTGGAAGGAATGACATTAGGGAAGAACATAAGTTTGGCAAGTTGTTATAAAAGCCTGTAAGCTATTATTGAGTACAGAGGAAGATCATAGAGCAAGATATCATTTAAAATCATAATATTGTGCTGACACTAATATTAATGAAGTAATTAACATTTATTGCACCTTTATTATGCACCAGGCCTTGGATTAAGCACTCTACATGGATTACTTTATTTAATCATCACTAAACTGTAATCATAGATAGTAATGCTATCTACGTCTTCCAGATGAGGAAATGCAGGTTCTGAGAGGTTAAATAACTTGC